AAACTGAGGAAGATAGTTTCTAGGAAGAATCGAAAGGCAGAGTTGATAATACAGTAATCCTGGGTGAGGTGATGAAGGCCTGAACTAGAATGATGACAGAACAGAGTGGAGTGGATGACCCTGAGAATGGTGAAAAGAGTCGTGTCTTGGTAGGTGAACTACTGTACGCTGAGTACTAAGGCTGCTTTCTCTACTGAGCAGGGCCTGATCTTTCTCTGCCATTATCTATGAATTTCTCTAACATTATCTATGAATCATTGGTCTGAATATCAGTTTTTGCTTTATGGTATTGTAACTATTGACTGTGTAGAAACTTGAATTAAATGTGACTTGACTCTGGGATATAAACTAAAATTTATTAGGAGAATTAAATTCTTACTATTAGCTTCCTTGTCTTTTGTCTCTCTTGCTTTAAAAATGGAATGTACAATGCAAGAAGGAAAAAATTAGTAATTTTTTGAAGTAGAGGAACTCAAAGTCATATCTGCATAGTGAATTATAAAGTAATGAGGTTGATTTCCATATGCCACTAAGGAACTTAGTGTCTTCAAATAGGTTCCTGAATGGTGGTGTTCTAACATCATGGAGAATCTTAGAGACTGTGAGTGTCAATGTCTTCATTTAACAAGTTAGGAAACTAAGAGTCAAGCAGTTAGTGTGTAGATAGTAATAGTGAAACACTGAGATTGTCAAGATCTTACTGTGCATTTTAAGAGAAGCTTTGGAAATGATGGATGTATGAGAAAAGAGAATTCTTAAAAAGTATCAAATCAGAGTTTAAAGAGACCAAAAAGGTAGCCTCGATGAAAGTATTTATACATTCTAAATAGTTGTCTAGTTTTCATAGTACTGCACTATTATCTATGAATAATTTGAAAATATCATAGTGAATACTTAGAAAACAATGATCAAGGTCATTGGTTCTTACACTTACTGTATTTTCTATTTTGTGAAATTACTTTCATTTTCACAAAGGCTAGTATGTTTTGAAGCACAGATATATGTTTGGAAAAAGAGCACAAAAGTCTTTTAACATTTCTAACACCTGTTGCTTTCAGATATATTGGCAACTAATTTCTGAAAGGGCTAGTACATCTCAAAACCTTATTAGTGTGTCAGGTTTCTGCCAAGGTGGTATTTACCTACCATATCGTTTGCAGAAAGTGGATTGAAATACTTGAGAAATGAGAGTCATGGTGCTGAAAGGATTTAAGTAAGTTTTGGAGCTTTTCTAAGTGTAAAATAATATACCCTCAGAAGGAGAGGATTTAGTTAACGAGTCAATATGGACGTATGTTTACTATTGTGTCAGATAAAGTCTCTGTATCACTTTATCAAAACGACTCCTTTTCTCCTGCCTTCTTACACAATCACTTTAACTTAATGCTTAATAAATATTAATTGGACCTACAATTTTAAGTACAAAGTAAAACAAATAAAATGATTTTAATGATATGACAGTTGAAAACCCAGGAGTTAGATCACAAGTGTTCAGTACTGCCTTGCTATTATTTTCTCGGATTATTGGGCCAATTTGGCTTTTTTTGCTTCTTTGACTGCCACATTACATTTTGCCTTGAAGCCATCCATTTTGCAGATATTGAATTTCTTTTGAGTACAGTTTTTATACAATAAGCATCACTACACCTCTGGATCTTGATAGCATTACTGCAGGAGGAGAAAGCAGCTTTGTGTTAGTAATTACCTAACATTGTCAGAAGCTGACTGCAGGCCTCTTTCTAGTGATAACAGAATAACCGCATAATGTAGCTTTATAGCACATGATTAATAGAAAATAATTACACGTCCTACAAAGGGATGCAATATTTCTTATAAATTGACTAGAATGGTTTCCTGTAGATTAAAGGACTCTTCATTATTTTATCAGTCCTCCTGAAGTACAGTCCCGTGCCTGTGTTAGCATTTCAGTTGATGTTAAGACCGAGTAGGTGAAGGATACCAGATGGCAGACCTTCTTGTACCTGAGATCTCATGTGCCATAAAGATGACACGATGCTTCCTAACCTTTCAAAGATTTAGATGGCAGCCTGGTATGGTTCGTCTCTTTATTTTTTTTTTCTTAAGGAAATAAGGTTTGAGAGTTTCTGTTTTTTTAAGTGATCCCCCACCTGTGACTTTATAGAACAGTACTAGAATTAGTATGTGGACTGCAAAATAACACTGTATCGGTTGCATTATTTCCCACTGTAAGTAATATGTCAGTCATAGTCCCATTTGTTTGGGGGTGGCAAAGAGGAAAGGCAGACAGGCAGGTTTTCTTTTTCAGAAGGAAAGCTTGCATAATACCGAATCTTCAGGCCAAAGTTTGGAATACCGTGCTCCTAGAAGCATTTTCATTCCAATTTATAGGCTGCAAATGGTTTAATTGGGATTCATGTTGCTCAGGAGGCTCATACAGAGGATGGTAATGATAAAAGTAAAAGCTCCTGTGTTTGCAGTCTTGTCAACTTCCTCTAATGGCTGCGGTGTAAATCCATAAATTTGCCTCCTATATTTTTACCTCACTATATTTTACCTTATCCCTTAATTCCACACAGGAGTATTATATGCAATTCTTTATAAATGTAGAGTAACAGCTATTCTGGTTTTTAGTCATACTCTTTTCTGATTTAAATCTGTGATATTTTAGGGCCCTTTTATGAAGTGTGTATTTTTCAAATGTTTTTCAATTATTTTAAATTAAGTGAAGCATTTAAGATTATTTTAGTCTCAAACTTTTTTTTCCTCCCTAGAAGGTTACTTTTAAGGGATTTGTTTACAGCTGATTAAACTCCTCCCTGCTGTTTACTACTATGTTTTCTATTTTGTGAATCACACTTGTCTACCCTAGTGCAGAATTCTCTCAAGTGTGAAGTCTGTCATCTGTCCTTTGTTGATGTGATTTATGGAAATCAATTTCTTAAATTTGGGTGTGAGTGAGCTTTTTGAGAATGATAATGTACCCTTAATTGACAGTACAGACTGTGACTGAAGTAGAATATTATAAAGTAATAAGAATTTCCCGGCTTGTAATTTAAATCTAAACATTGACACCCAGACTGAGGGCCATTCGCTGGAAGCAGGTTTGGGTCAATCATATGTCCTCTCACTGAATGTTTTCTATGTCTTCCATTGGAGGCTGAGGGGTTAGTTCCTTCACTCTTTCCAAATAATCAATTTTTAAAACCTTAGATTGGTATTGGGTAAGAGCTTTAGCACTCAAACTTACTCTGTTATCTACCCACTTTGAAATCTTACAAAGGGTTGTGGAAGGTTAAGTACATTTGTTTTGTTAAGCATTAAGCTCTAATTGTATCCATTACCTTAAAAATGGAAAAGGGCAGTTTTATTAGGTACCTATTAAGATATAATGGTTGCTAATCATGGCTTTCAGTAAGTCGGTTATTTTCTTCTGATAAATATATCCTGCATAGATTATGGTCATTGTCATTGAGTTCTGGGCATCAGAATATTCTCATTGCTTCCACAGTTTTGTCACTAAGTTCACACTATCAGTAAACTTTAAACACATAATCTTGGGTCTAATGCTTCATAATCCAAAGCTGTGCTATCGTTAGAATAAGAAGTGCAGGATTAATCTTTTCTCCCCGTCCCCTCTATTTTGCACGTCCAATAAACCTAATGCTAACACTATCCACTGTTTGAAAAGCACCTTTAGATTTTATCCTATAACCTCTCTATTGGTAGACTACATATCAATACATGCATGCTACTTTTGCTACACTTGCATTGAGGAATTGCATAATTTTCCTTTCTGATGGTCAGTTGCATACTAATCAATACAAATGTTAAGTCTGTACTAGTATTAATGTTCCCTCACAACATATAACTCAATATGCATATGCACATTTATCTATGACTCAGATGTTGGAGAATCATAACCTATCGAATTACTTTGGGGATTGATTTTAAAAATTTATCTTCTATGAAAAATCAAATTTGAGTCCTACAATGCTTGTGCAGAGTATTGCTTTTCGGAAGATATTATTCTTGAACTTGTAATTCATTTTACTTTGTATCTCACCAAACATAAATAAATTTTAGATTAAAAATACATTAGTCAATCTGGCAGACGTATGAGACTGGTTACAGAGTGTTCACAATGCCTAAAGCAGTGGTGTATCTGTCCAAGGAGGAGAAGGTAGGAGAAAAGGAGGCATAGGTTTGTTTATCTCACATTGCAAAGTAAATGTAGATGTGACTCATCAATCACTCTTTTTTACAGTTATATTAATATTTTGCCTTTGTAACTTGTTGATCTTCCACTATAAGGGTGACTCTTAACATCACCTTTAAACTCCTTCTACCCAGCCTTTATCTAAGACAGTTCATGGTCAATAAAAGGAACAATAAATACCTTAGGGAAACGATTTTAAAGGAACCTGTTTGTGAATTATTTTGTAAAGCAGAATTTTTTGGTGTTATTAGTGTTTAATTATTCTCTAATTTATCTGTTTAAAATGTGCGTATTAGTTTTCTTAAGGGACACATCTCTACATTCTAAATCTTTTAGTCGCATGTAAGTTGAATTAGGAATTAAGTAGTTTATTGTGAAAAAAATAATTTTATGCTTGCTAGATGATAAGCTTCTTGAAGGTAAATATAGCACTTTAAGAATCCTGGCTTTAACCTTCTAGCCTCTTACATATAAAAGGTGTCTCCAGGCTTTGTGAGAGCGAGAGTGGGAGTCCTAGGGAGCCAGCTTCCTCAGGTAGTTTCATTTTCTAGGTTCTTATCACAAGTGACTGTTTCTGTGTTCTATGCCTAGTAATAAACAGGCTTTGTGTTATACGTTAATTTAAATCTTCACCTAGCAGCATTTTAAAGTGTCCAGAAACAAAAATGATGAAAATGTTTCCATTTGCAGCTCAAGCTCTTTTAACTTTATAAATAGAAATAACATTTCTAAGAAGTTACACACAAACGACATTGTACTTACACCAGTCTAAAGGTTAATGTTGCATATTGTTTTCAATTAGGAATACAATAGATATGGCTGGTGGGTAGGAGAAATGAAGGGAGCCATTGGCTTGGTGCCTAAAGCCTACGTAATGGAGATGTATGATATTTGAGAGTCCTGGGTAAGTACATTTTAATCCAATATTCTGTAATAGCTCATATGTTCTCTTGGTCTCTTTGTTATGAATCTTTGCCTTTTGAAAAGTCTTTATAATTTTCTGATAGCACAGATTATGCCCAAATCTTTTGTGTTATGTTTGATGAGGTTTAATTTTTAAAATATCTTCATAGAATTTACTTTGGAAATGAATAGATTATTTCGAGAAAGTTCCTTTGCTAATAACCAGCTTTTCCCCCAAACTTCCCCTCTTTAATAAAATACCGCTCTGATGGCCTTTCTGAGGAGTTAACTTGACAAAATGTTGATTAAACATTCACTTTCCCTAGGCTAAATGTAATTGTTCTTCTAAGCAGGAAAAAAAAATCAGCATTTCAACTGAAAAAAAAATTAAAATGCAACCTTCCCTTTCTTCCTGCAGAAAAGAAAGATTCTTCCACTTGTCTGCCAACGTCTTGGATTTAGAAGTATTGTGAAAGCTGGGTGACAGCTCATAACCTTTCTTTGTTTTTGTTGAATATCGCTTGTCTTTGACTGTTATTTTATGCAGTCATTCATTAAAATATTCCTCTGATATGAAATTAAATGAAGGCTATTAATGTTAATTAGATGCAAGCAGTAAAGTTATACCTGTTGCTATTTTGCAAAGATATAATTACAGTTTTTATTTACCTATTTGATTCGTGTGAAGAATTCATCACTATTTTAACATACAATATAGTCTACTATAGCAGTCTACTATTGCTACTTCCAGTGTGACTTGTAATGTTTCTTAATCATTGAACATCAGTTATTTTTTGGCGTGTAGTATATAATTTCATGGAATTTTAAATTGAATATATTATGCAGGTTTTTTGGTAGATGCTAAGAATGTGGTTATGTTAAAGCTTTGTAGATGGTTTATCTTAGTATTTATTCTTCACTGAGTAGTAACATGTTTTAATAAAATAAATTTTACAGATTGCCAAATTTACTTCCTATTAAATATAGCCACCAGAAAGAAGAAATGATAGCATTGTAAATGGCAGTGTGCTGTCATCTGCAACACAGGTGTTAGCCAGAAGGGTGGTCTGTGCAGTGAACTTTACAATAGCAAATACCTGGTTTGATGATGGGCTTGCCAACATTTGCTACTATATTTTTGCTTAAATTTAATGAAAAAGAAATCCATAAGAAATTAAATTCTACCCCTAACATAATGGTATAAACAATCTCAGTGTTGTTAAGTAAGAAGGCTAATAACCACACAGTCTCTCATCTTGCCTTATCATTGCTATGCCATTTAAATCCCACCTGCAAAACTGCAGATTTGAGTGTCCTCCTCAGAGCACTGACAAGAAAAGGAAGGCTCAGGGAAGAGAGTGTAGACATCATGGCGGTACCATATGCCCACAGGAGAGCGGAAGGGTAGCGTTAGCCTAACATTTGAGTTATACTCTGTGCTGCCTAGGCAAGGGTTGCAAAGTCATATCATTACTTTTGCATGCATATTTAAGATCAGAGATATTCTAGATGCTTATGAGGTATTAAATATGGCCTTAATAAATATCAACATGCATTGCTGATTGAATAATTGTTTGGAATAGGCATAATCTCCTAATATTGAATCATTTTTTAGAAGGTACTATCTTTGTTGAACTTTTCAGACCTTTGCTTTTTTAAAAAAATTTATTGTAGAGACGCGGTCTCACCAAGTTGCCTGGGCTGGTCTTGAACCCGCGGACTCAGACAATCCACTCACCTCGGCCTCCCAAAGTGCTGGGTTTACAGGCTGAGCCACCAAGCCCGGCCTAGACCTTTGCTTTTTATAAAGGTTCTAACTACAGAACTGAGCAGGTGGTATTAAAACCTTCATTATTTATGTAAAACTATTTACAAGCAATGTTTCAGAATGTTTGCTTTACCATTATCCCTTCAATACCATGATTGTCCAATTTCAAATGTTAAAAAAAAATTAGTTTCAGGAATGGTAGCAAACTTAAATATATATATATTGTTAAGTAAAGTTTTCAATAATTATATTTGTGCAGTTGTTAACCTTTTCCTAAGATAGTGCCATTGAAATCATCTTGGCGAAAGTCAGACAACTGGAGATGAATTTAGTGGACTGGTTTTCAAAAGCTGAGTGGTTGAAAAGCAAAAACAGCCATTCCCAATGACCACTCCGTAGCCTTGCTAGTGGGTTCAGGTTTTATGCTTCTGGCCTGAATGAAGTTTTTTAGTACCAGGCCAGTAGATGGCAGCAGCTTGTCATTGCATAGGAAACCACTTGCCAACCCCTCCCCCACACGGATGCAGACTCGCCCAGAATGTAAAGCATTTAGGAGATTTCTGCCTCCTTTTACGGTTAATCCAGGAGAGGGAGTCCTTTGCCAACTGATGATCAACTGATTCCAAGCCAGATAGTCTCTCTGTAAGCAGTGACTATGCAGAAATAAGGTGTTATACTTCTGTCCAGAGCTCCCCTGGCCTTTGTTCTTCTTAAACTTGAATATAGGTGGGAGATGTAAGAAAGGAAACAAAAGACTTAAAATTGGAGTGGCAGAAAAAAACAACCATTACTTTTGATGCATGACGACTTTATATTCATTTGATGAAGTCATTTGTACACAGCCAGGGAGAAAGTTTTCCTTACACCCTTGACAATATATTACATACTCTTCAAGATTATAATAATATCATTAATGTGAATTTAAACAACATGGCTTGTTAGAAAATATGCTAATTGCTATGTTCTCATTATGTTTGCGTAGCTTTTATTTGTTTTTCTATGAACAGTTAGAGAGCTAATTTTTTTCAAAGGTGATTGTAAGTCATATTTTATATAGCATTTTGCTTGATTATTTGCTCTGTACTGAATTTGTACTCTATTGCCATTAGATCTTACAATAATGTTCCACTCTGCAAATTTTTAAGGTTCAAATAAAGTTTAATTGTTTGCAAACTGTTATGATGCTAATAATTCAACAGCCTGCTGTGTTACTAATGAAATTACTTTGTTATGATTAATTTGGAAAATAGTGTGTTGATTGTAGTAATTAAGCACAACAAGGTGAAGTAAATGATTCTAATGCCATCTGGCCTCCAAACTGAATGAAGAAATGAAATAGGGCTGTCATCTGAATTTATTCAAAGAAGTAAGGATAATACAAATGACTTTCATTGCTATAGGATTTACACTTAACCACGGCTCACTCCATTCTGTTTTGGGCACTTTGCTGCATATGACACTTTCTTTTTTGAAAAGGAATGTCTAGTCCAGTGATTATCTTGAATTCTTTTTAAAATTTTTAAGCTGATTATTTTTATTGCACGCTAATTTAATTATAGATAGTTACATAAAGTATTATAGATTTATAGAAAACTCACTTTTCAGTCATCTGTAGGTGAAATTTATATATGTGGGGTTTTGTTTTCTTGGCGTTTTTTATTTTTTGCTATCAGTGTGCAAACACTTTGAATATAACTTTTCAAAAAGTAGAGGTTCTATTCAATTGTTTCTAAAATGTGTTCAGTCAAGGCTCTCTCATAGTTCTTATGATTTCTACTTTTCCTGTCATTTCTTCACTCTAATCTATTGCTACTCATTTCATTGACTCTGGTACTGTCTAAGGTCATAATTAAAAACAGAACTGAGTTACATATCATAGATTCAGATTAGCAGTTCAGCCATTAGAAGAAAACTGACTCTGATATATGTGTACTTTAAAAGCTTGAACTTCATCAAGGAGACTAAGTGAAGCATTGTGAGAATTTTTAGATCAAGTAAAGTTATTCTAAATTTCAGATAAATTGGTTGTATTTCAGTTATTGAATGAAATTATAGACACAAACCATATTGTACTTCTCTTGAGTTCAATAGATTTAAGAATATCGACATGGTAAATAGGAGGTGGTAGAGACTGAAGATTAAAACATGTTATAAAGCCATAGAAAACATGGCTTCCCTCAGAGTTGAAAGAATATAATTTATATATAATAAAAACATTTGTTAAACATGATTCAGTTTCAACAAAATACTGAGTATTCAAAAATACAGAGAAACAAGTAGTATATTGTTGAAGTATCTTTCTACATATCTTTATACTCAAATGCAGAATCATTTGTTCTCTAGATTGGAAACAAGGGATTTCTAGACATCCTTAGCTACAGCCAAGTTATCGTCCACCTATTGCCTTATAGTTGAATTCTTCCAGAATGTCTGTTAGAACCTCTGATAGTATAACATTTTGCCATGAGATAAATATTATAAAATTATATGATCACAGAAACATGGAGTTAATTTCATCAGTGCTGTGTGGGAGGGTCTTTTGCTTGTTTTTGCTGGTAGAATCTGCTCTGTCATTACATACAAACATGATTTACTGCCAGCATGGTTCAAAGTATATGGTGTGTATCCAGTAAATATTTGTTAATTAACTGATTTGGCACCCTCACAATATCTCAAGACCTGAGATTTAAAAAGAAAGGACTTCTCTGCCAGAGAAGTAGAGAAAATGCCTTTATAAAGTTACTCCATCCTGTCATACTGTCAACAAGTAGATGGGATTTTATTGTTAGTAACAGTTGAGTGAGGTCCTAAATATTGAGAAAGTTGAGTTGTAGTAGACAGTCTTCAGATGTTTCTTCCTTTCTTTCTTGTGTTTAACGTTGTGACTCTTGCAAATAAGGGGCACAGGTGACTAAGGCAGCTTGGGGCAAGTGATCTACTTTCACTTTCCAGTGAAACATCCAACTCTCTGCTGCCCTGCCTTCCACTTGGGTAACATCAGAGACGCCTCTCCTTCCGCCTTCTGGATCTTGGAAGCATTCTAGCTGCCACCTTGGGTGGACCAAAAAGGAACTTCAGAAAGTGGGAAGTTTCACAGTTGTTAAATCTAACCATAATTCAGTTTTTGTTTTTCTTGTAAACTTTTACTCCCTAGTTTTTTAAAAGTTGTATGATTGTTATCTTGAGTGCTTTGAGAGTCCCCAAGATGAAAGGAACCATAAATGCAGAAAGTA